CCCCCAAGGGGGGGCAGGGAAGCCTAAAAAAAAAAAAAAAAAAAAGCGAACGAGAGACAGACAGACAGACAGACAGACAGACAGAATTACCGTGGCTAATGTGAAGCTTCCTCATCCAGGGAAATATCTGCGGAGTCTGCCCCTCGGGCGCGGCTGTAGAGGTGGCCATGGGCTCTGGCTGTGCCCGAGCTAGGCTCGGACTGCTCAGCTGGCTCGCGGCTTCCTCTGGCTCGGAGGACGCGCTGGCCTCGTCTATTTCGGTGAAATTGGCGCTGGAGCTGGCCGGGGTCGCCTGGTCGGAAGGGGACGAAGCAGAGGGTTTGGCGCCGTGGCTGTCGCCGTTGGTGCAGGGCAGGGACTCGGGCGAAGACAGGGAGCAGCTCGACGTCGCCTGCCTGAAGCGGGGTTCCTGGGCAGACGCAGAAAAGGCGCGCGAGCTCTCACCCACCGCCCCAAAGTGGCTGGAGGAGGCCGAGGAGCGGTTGACGCTGAGGTCCATCCCATTGTAATTGTAGCCGTAGGAGCCGGTATGCATGGCAGCGGGATCCCTGTAAGAGCCGCTCAGAGAGCTGCCACTGCCATAATTTAGCAACTGATAGTCCGGGCCATTTGGATAACGCCCCGAGAAGGAGTTTACAAAGTACGAGCTCATTTGGGTGATTTTGGAGGGCTTGATTTGTGGATCGTGGTCGTTATAACCCTGTGCTTCACGATTTATGATGTATTAATGAATTATAGCGATGCACTGTACTTCGTTTTGCTATGTATGCGGCCAAATATGGGGGGGTGGAAGGGGGATGGGGGGGCGTTAGGGAATCACGTGCTTTTGTTGACCAGTCGTAAATTCTCACTGATGACCTCAAGAGGTAATTCATGCTCTATGGTTACAAATAATGACGATCCGAGAATCGTTAGGGCCGATTCAATGCGAGCCTCCGAGAGGGGGAAAAAGGAGAAGGGGGAGAAAGAGGGAGAAGGTTGGCGTTGGCCTCTGAGCAGAGCGCGCCACCTCCCGGCAATCTGCGGGAGCGCGGGCCGCAGACCGCCATGGCGGCTGCCTCCCTGCTGGCTCTGCAACCGCCTAGCCAGAAACCCGGCCAGGGTTCACCCGCAGGGTTGAGCCTTTAAATCGACCGGTTTGAGCCTTTTGCCCACTTTTCTTAGGGTCGTTATTCTATTTGTGCCCCTTTCTCTGTCGTTTTAGTATTATTTAACCCTGGATACGATTATCAGAAATGTAGTTGCTTGTCCCTGCTCAGGCTTTGCCAGTCTCCAAGTTGGGTGTGGAAACGGGGAAAGGGTTAGAAGTTGTGTGTGAAAAACAATTAGGAGTTATCCCTGTGAGCTCAGCCAGGCCTGCTTCCTGGAGAGGCTTTCCTGGCGTGTCCACAGCACCCAGAAGCCGCAGGACTGGGCTGGAGGCTGCAAGAGGCAGGAAAGCTTTCCGTTCTCCTGGGCCCCTGGGAAGTTTGCAGTTCTCTCTGACCTCTCGTCCTTAGCCTAGGCCTAGGAACAGAGCAGGACACGGACTCTGGAAAAGGAACACAGCTGGGGGCTTAGCCTAAGGTGGAAAAGACTAGCGGCACCGCCTGAGCATCTTAGGTTTGGGTGGCAACGTGAGAGTTTGGGGCTAAAGCGGAACCCCTTCGCCATCTCGCCAGATGCCAGCTTCGGAGGCCTCTTGCTGGTGGCTGACAGTTTGAGAATCTGCCTACTGGCCTACAGCTTTCCCCGGGAAGGGCTCGGAAGACCCGCTGAAGACCGGCGGCCCCTTGCTGAGCGCGCTGGTCGGCCCCGCAGCTGGGCCCCTTCTGCCAGGCTATTTTCTTTAAAAATAAAAAAGGGAGGAGGAAGGAAAGAAAACAGTGTCTGCAGCTTGCCGCCTGGGTGAGGGTGGGGTGGAGAAAGAATGGGCCATTTTGGGTTGCGAAGATGAGGACCAAACGCCCTAACATCACCTGGCCTCCTGCCCTCAGGTCTTCAAAGAGCTAGAGAAAGGCGGGCCTTGGGCACCGCCTGCTCTGGGGTCCCCATTCTCTTTCTTCTTAATGAACTTCTACTTGAGATGGGAAGGGGAACCCTGGAACCATTAGATGGGCGGTGGAGAGATGCCCAGTGGCCTCATTTTTCAGGCTCCAGAGCAATAGGCCTGAGCCGAGGGCCAAGGCCCGCAGAGGCGAGCCATGTGGGCGGGCCAAAGGCAGGGGGCCTGGGCGAGCCTAGGACAGAAAAGCGCTGCAGAGGCGTCCAGACCTGCCCAACTCGGTCTCCACCCCGACTTTGGACTAGCTGGCCTAGGGGCCACCTCCTCTGAGCCTCACAACCTCTCTCTCCGTCCCCCAGGTCTAAGAGAGAGAGAGTCAGTTGTGAATTTAGCATCAGGGAGGTACGGCTCTGGGGCCTGGGAGAACCGATGGCTTCAGCTTTGATCTCAATTGTAACTTCCGAATCCAGTCTGGCGGCTGGGAAGGCCCTGGGGCTGACCAGAGTTCTTGCCTTTGCTGTCCAGTTCAGGCTCAGGGATGATGAGGTGGCTGAGGGGTAGAAAGGGGGAAAAAATGGCAGGGAGGATTGGAGGTGATTGAGCGGCGAGTTTTCACGTCTTTATTATCATCATTATTATTAATAATATTAATATTATTACCGAAGTATTTCACGTCCAGAGCTAAGACAAGACTACAAACACAACACATAGAAAATTAATAAAATAGAACTTTGTTTTCTTCTGAGGCTTTTCTTCTTACTTCTAGGTAGTATGTGCTCCTTTCCAGTGACTTTGGGGAAGGGGTGGGAGAGACAAGTCTGGGGTCAGGGAGTCTCCAAGGCCCCTGCTGAGGGGACAGCGAATCTACCATTGAACCGTGCACGGGGGACATGGACGAAATGAGACTCGACACGGACAAGAGCATTCTGCTCTGCTTCCAGGAAACATCAAGTGAGTCCGATTCTCAGTTCTCACCAGGGAGCCTGATCGGGCCCAGACGGGTTCTTCGGGGAGGGAGGAGGCGCTGGGTGCAGGGTGGACTCGGCGGCGCCGCCTTCGAGCACCCGGGGAGAGCTCTGTGGGCGGGGGCGTCCAGGAGAGCGCTGGGCCCCGCCTGTCTGGGTCTGGAGAGCAGGTCCCCAGACTCCCCCGCCCTCAGAGCCTTCTAGGGCTCCCGGGTGCCCTCGGTTCCCGCTTCGCGTCCCCCCTCCCTTTCCAGCACCTTCACTCAGCTGGTTTTTCTTCCTCTTCCTCGGCACTGAGCTGAGACGCATTGAGCAGTTTGCTCTCCTTTTTCCACTTCATGCGCCTGTTCTGGAACCAGATCTTGATCTGCCGCTCGGTCAGGCACAGGGCGTGCGCGATCTCGATGCGCCGCCGCCGGGTCAGGTAACGATTGTAGTGAAATTCCTTCTCCAGCTCCAGAGTCTGGTAGCGTGTGTAAGTCTGGCGGCCTCGCCGACCGCTGGGCCCAAAAGAGGAACCTGTTACACAGAGAGGAGAAGCTGAGGCCTGCGGGGGGGGTCACTAAGCCCTTAGCCCCCTCCCCCACCCGGCCTCCAAATGTACTACTACTAGCTTTTCCAGGGTAGCCTTCCCCTCCCGCTATTCCCTGATCTCCTTTCCCCACTCCTCCAGCGCCCCCTCCAGATTCCCTCCTGGTCTCCTAGGCCTGTGCTTTCTTTCTGTCTAGACTTTTGGTGGGGGAGGGGAGGAGCGATTTGAACTCCCACCTGAGCCGAGTGGGAGGGGGGAGGGGCTGGCCAGGTGAGTCTCTTGGTAGCTGTATCTTTTCTTTCTCTTCTTTTACTTCCATCTAGCTCTCCCCACCCCTGGCCCACCCAATGATAGATTCTGGCCCTTAATCCGTAATGACGTGGATCGATCCATACTTCGCATTAACAGCTCCTCACTTTCGTGTCCCGCTAATGGACATCAATTGGGTCTTAAAGCCGACAAATAATCCAACCTGAGACCCAGGCGCCAGTTTGTCCCTCTCTCTCCCTCTGCCTGCTCCCTCTAATTTTTCCTCCTTCCTCTGACTACCACCCCTTTCCGAGTGCCCCACCGCTCTCCAGCTCCCCCAGCCCCAGAGAAACACAGTTTTGGACCGACTAAACTCGCCCTTGCCGGAGTCAAGCCACCCCCACCCCTTTCATGACCACTCTTGTTTTTAATGGAGTGGTCTTTGGGTGGGGGACCCCGTCATGAATGGGGGGGCAGGGCTTGCAGAGAAAAGGAAAACCACAACTGCTTCCCCTGTCCCCTTCCTGATCAGCACTCCAGGCTCTGGCCTGATGCTCCGGGAGAGCCCACTCGCTCTCCCTGGCTTACAGTGCAGCTGGGACTTTGCAAACTTTGCAACTCCTGCGGACAGGAGGACAGATCTGGAGACAGGGGCCCCATTTTCCCCTATCTCCGAAGATGCCCACCTAGTTTCCTGTGGGAGAATGGGGGTGGGGGGCGACACTCGCTAGCTCTGCCTCCTGGTGGGGACCCGGGCGGCAGCACAGAGTCTCACTCACTGTTGCACGAATTCATCCTCTGCATCCACGGGTAGACGGGAGTGGAGCACTTCTGCTCCTCGGTCTCGCCGAACACGCTCTTGTCCTGCGCACAGTCGGACTTCCGTGGCTCGGGGTGGAACGGAGGCGGCTCGTCGGCGCCGGCCAGCGCGCAGGCCGACTCCTTCTCGCGGTAGAAGGCGGGTGCAGGCCCGTAGTCGCAGGGCGCCGCTCGGCCGTAGCCGCCGGCGGCTGCTGGGTAGTAGGAGGAAGCGGCGAAGCCCTTCTCTTGGCCGGGCCCCGGCCCGTAGGGCGCGGGGTAATGCCTCAGCGGGTCCGCATAGCCGGATGAGTAGAGCGGTAGCTGGCCCAGGAAGGACTCCTGCCCGCTGGCCAGAGTGACGGGGAAGGTGGAGTTCACGAAATAGGAACTCATTGGGAGGGGAGGCGCACGCGGCCGCTGCTGCTCCGCCGGGTTTATGATTTGTTGTGTTTTATAGTCCGAGCGCCGCGCCTATTAGTAGTATATCCGAGATTGGGTTTTAGCTGAGGGGGGATGGCGAGGTGCCAGTGAGGGCCAGAAGGAAATACAACCATCTGATCCAACACTGACCAATGGCAGAGGCAGGAATTGTCAAATAGCACCCTGGAGGAGCGCAGCCCGCACGAGGGACCCGCGCACAAACCTATCAACCTTTCCCCCCCTCCTTCTCCTTTCCTTTTCTCTCTCAACAACACAACGCGTCCTGTTCCACCTACGTAGGATCTGCAAAAGAGGCGTCTGTGCCTTTGAGGGAGGAGGGAACATTTGGATTGAAACCATCCCATTCCCCAGTGATGAAATAAATACATCCCACCCTACCACCCCACGCAGGATAGGAAAAAGTTAATTGTGTTTTCAGAAAAGTTAACCCCTGCGTGGCTTGGGCCGGTTCCCTTGGAGGGCTGAGTAAAATGCTCACGAATCTCGTTGAGAGAGAACGAAAGGGGGAGGTGTGTTTCTAGGGTTTTGTGTTGGTGAAAGAGAAATGGAGTTGTCCGTTAATTTGCTTCATTTTAGAAACAGGCGCAGAAGAAACACCTCCTTCGCAGGTTTGGAGAATCGTTTTTTCCTGTTTATCAGGTCCCTCTCTCAGGCTAGGCTTATTATATCCCTGCCTCTCCACCACAAGGCTTATGGTCAGAGGGGGCAAGCCAGATCCCTCCACCTAGAAGACCCAGAAGAGGAGGTGATGCCAGGAGGGAGATCTGAGCCCTGGCTTTTCCCTGCGTCTGTGCAGCTAGGCTAGACTAAGGCTTCTCAGAAACCAGTCACCCGTTCCCCAAGACAGCTTATCTAGTTGAGTCTTGGTAGGGAATGGGGCCCTGGGGAAAGAGACTAGCAGGCCCCTCACTTGGTGGTATGGATGGAGGAGTAAGTTGGAGCCCCAGCCTAGGTGACTTTATTTGTCTGACCTCTTTCCTACCTGCAACCCTTACTCAGTCCCCACTCCACGGATTTTGACCTCTTGTCTCAAATAACATAAGATCCCAGGCTACAGATTTTTGGAGTCAAGGGTGTAATGTCCTAATAGGTCTATAGATAAGGAAGAAATTGTGAGTCTTCCGACACTCTTCATGTTGAGAAGAGCCCTTACCTCTTTTCCTGGTCTCTCTAGAAGTTATCAGTTCTCTGCCTTATTTTCCCAAGACTTGGTTTTGGTTTAGTTTTGTAAGGAAGGAGGACTGACTACTAGGGTCCTCCTGGGAACTCAGTAATCATCTTCCAACCAGCAGTTAGCATTCCCCTTCTACACACAACCCCTCCTGTATGTCTCTCAGCTGCTCTACAACCCCCTCCCATGCCTTGGGTTTTTTTTTGTATCATCAGCTTTGTTGCTATAAGAACTTGGGAGTGAAATAGTCTATTCTCTCTCTCTCTCTCTCTCTCTCTCTCTCTCTCTCTCTTTCTCTGCCTTCAAGTAAAATGAACAGGGAGATAGGACCACTAATATGCATATACAGGACAGACAGTGAAGGGAGGCAACCTTTCCAACCTTAGTATAGGAAGGGGCTGAATGTAAGATGTTGTCTGAGGTCAGGTCAGGCTGACCCATCTCTGCCTTGTTCTTTTGGCTCCTTTTTGTGGGCCAACTCTGTCCACTGATAGAAAAGGTGGTACAAGGCTGAGGTTAGGTTTCCAAGAGTGGGGATTTCTTTGGCAACAAAGTGGCCTCCAAAGCTCTTTGAACTCAGGGCAACTGCTAGGCTGCCCCTTTATGGCAAAATGGCCATACCTGGTATCCCTCTGATATCATAGGGTTTTGGATGGGATTTTAAGAAAAGAAGCTTAAACCTCCTGATGATGGAGAACAAATGCTCCAATCTAGACGTGGCTGGGTCCACTCCAAGAGAGTGAAAGGGGCTATCTGGGCAGGGGGAGCAAGGGAAGGAAGAATATTTGCCCCTCTATCTTGCTGCTGAGGCTGGGCCTCAGCCCTTCTCCCGGGTCTGTCATGGTGTTCCTGTCATAGGAAAGATGCTGTAGACTACCATATAGAGCATGGTCAAAGTAAGAGGAGGTGAGGGAGGAGGTCATTCCTCTTTGATAGAAGCAGAAAAGTAATCACCTTATCCTTAGAGCCCCTGCTCCCAAATTAAGCTCACCTCTGCAGGTTGCCTGTCTGGAGATGGAGCCACTATGGGCAGGGCCTGGGCGCCTGGAGTAGGGCATGAAAGGAAATAGCGCCTCATCGCTCTTATCTAAGCCCAGAGGTATTTATGAGCGTTTATTCATCTGATCCGTTTGTTTGGGAAAAAGAGCAGGCAGGCAGGGCTGAGCCAGAGACTGCCTGGTTTCTGGAGCCAGATCTCTACGAATCTGTCTGTGGTTCCATCCACTGCAGTCTGTCTGTCTCCATGGAGGGAATATGTAAATACATAGCAGGCACAGTCAGCCCTCTGTTAGGGGTATCACTCTCTCACTCACGGAGGGAGGGATGTAAATGTATACCAAGTCTTGAGTACACACAAGAGGAATTGTATGGATACCCCACAGGCAGGATTTATAATTGTGATTTTCTGTGCTTTGAGTCTGCAGTCCCATGGGTAAGCCTCCACATTCCACCTCCCAGAGAAATGTTTCCTAAGCCCTGTTTAGCTCAGGAGTAAAATTCTCCTGAAGGTAATCTTAGGACTGACATTTGCCTGTCTGAGGAGGGGGTGAGACAATGTCTAGGCTTCCCATTTTCTCTAAGCTACAAAGCCTCCTCCCTTTCCAGCTCCTTTGATAGTGGGTAGTTTCCCCTACTCGGCTCCCAACTTTACCTGGGGTGAGGTAGATGACAACCTCTTAAACTCTATTCTTCCCCTGGACTCTTTCTTGAGTCTGGGGGGTATCAGTGCCCCCAGAGGTGCAGTGTGGTGGCTCCCACAGATTGGGAAAGGCTCTTTTCTTAGACACTTTGCCCTAAGATAGGCTAGTCCAAATCTTCAAATCGAGGTACAAAGACCTCATTTCCATTATGCAAATGAGCGGCATCTTCTCTGATCTTCTAGGGGGAGTGGGCAGTGACAATCCCTTGATTCTCCGACTTCTCTCTCCTCAGGTCCATGGCTACCCTCAGAGCCCTAAAGTGTTTTAACCCTCTGTCAGAACCTTAGTTCCCCTCCCTGTTTTCTTCTGACTGCCCAAAAGGAAAAAAAAAAAATCTAGGAGGGCCCCAAGACCTTCCCGCCAGTTCCCTCGAGGCCTCCCGCGGAGTGACTCACTAAGCCCCGCCATCCAGCCGCCAGAAAGTCACTCTCGGAGAGGAAAAAAAGCTTAAAGAGCTGCTACAGAAGCTCAGACTCCAGAGGCGCCTAGGGCTCCGGGTCGAGGTGGTGCTGTTTACTCACAGTACTGCGCAGCCCCTATAGACCCCAGCTCCCAGACATACCCCAGTAACACCTCGGCTGGCCTGGCACCACAGGCAATTTCCTGGAGCCCCCGCCTAGGAATTGGGGCCACAGCACCTTGAAAGGAGCAGCCAGATCTTCCTCCTGCGGCTTGAAAGCCCGAGCTAATCAGTAACCCATGAGACAGGGGCCAACACTCATAGGCTGTGACAGAGGCGCGTACCCCGCCCTCTCCACCCCCTCCCGGGGAAGCCGTTCCGCTAAGCGGGTGTGAGGGGGTCCGCCAGGAACGGAAATTGCAATGGTTTGGTTCTTTAATGATTTAGCCCCACTCCCGATTATTTTACACCAAAGCATTTTTGCGTCGATTTCGATTTCGCTTGAAACGGTTGAGAATGGGGGAGGGGACTAACAGTCACTTGCAGACACCAACAGTTTCCAGAAAACTCGGTTCAACTCTGTCACCACGGACTCACCAGCTTAGGAACTGGCAAGACCCACAAGCCAACTCGATGAACACAGACTCGGTTTGTCTTTTGACAACCGAGTGGAACTGCCCGGTCGGCGCCTCCCATGACCGGCCCCCTCCCTTGGCTGAGAAGAAAACCAAATCAGCCTTGAACAGCCTTGGCCTCAGACCTCTCCAGCGGCCCCCGATCCTGCTTGTGCCTTAGGTGGTGATGGGGGTCGTGGGTCTGAACCCTGAACCCCTTGGTTCAGTATCTACCCTCGGTCCGTGGATTATAGTGTTACTACTCCTCTAGAAATCCAGGATGCCGCTTCTTCTGCCAGTCCCCGGGTTTGGGGCTGGGATGAGTGGGGTTTGGAGGAGACAGGAGAAGGTCGAGGCTAGTGTACTTAGTCATCCACACCTGGGAACCAAGATGCAGTGGAGCGCATCGGTGTGGGCCCGAATCCTACTGAACGGTGCAGCCCGGGAACTGCAGGCAATCCTGCAGGACTCCGGGAGGGTCTCGGGGCTGGTGGTGCCCAAGCCGCGTGTCTCTGAATGGACGGTAGATGGCAGCAAAACGCATAATTTGGGTCAGAGGAAAATGTCTAAGGGACGATTTATAACCCACCAAGACTACAGGGGAAAAAGACCTTCAGTCTGAGTGGGTTTGGAGAATTTTCCCGTTGCGAATAAGCTCCGAGCGCCATGGGTGCTGGCGATGAATTTCTCTTGCTAAGACGCCAAGGGGTCTATCTGGGAGCCCAGGCCAGGCCTATGCCTGATCCTCTTACCTGGGCCCTCTGGGAGGCCCAGTCCTGTGCCACAAGTGGCTGCTTTTCCCTCTCCTCCCAGCTCAGAATACCAATGAACCCACACACATGACCAAGATCCTTAAATCCTGAGGAAACCAGAGGCCTGAGCCCGAAGGACTTGCATCTGGCTTTAAGAAACAGAAACAGTCACCTATTCATGCAAACCTAACTAAATCACAATGTCTCCCTGCTCTTGAGGCCATACCACTTAGCTCTCTGCTTGAAGCTTCCCTAGAGACCTTCACCTCATTTCTTGGCCCTTGCCAGCCAGCCTGCACTCTACCAGTTACTTTGGGAATTAGCCTCATATCCAGCAGTTCTCCCCCATTCTGCTTCCCTTCTCCCAAGAGACCTGGTGAGGGAACAAAAATTGGGCATTCGAGGGACAGGGTTAGCTCTCTGAACTCAAGGACCAGCAAGATTCCTTGGCAGACACTATTGGGTTCCCTAGTTGGGCTTCCTTTTTGTTTTATATTCTCTCTCAAATTTCTTTTTATGTACAAGCTTAAAACAACAATAAGCTAACAGCTTTTCATAACCACCACATTTGAATCCAGTGAAAGTTGGAAATGTTTCCATATCAGACACAGATGGCAGTTTTCTTCACCGAAATCCACATACCCCCAATACCAATAAAACACAAGTAACAGAATCAATATCACACCGAAACCAACACACTTTAACCTACCGCATTAAAACCACAAAACTCTCTCCCTGCAGATCGAGGCTCCCTTGGGCAGGGAGTGGCGAGAGACCAGGGTGCTTCATCGGCAGGCTTCCTGGGGAGTTTCCCTGGCTTTACCTGCCTCCACCCACAGCCCTTTAATTTCAGAAATGTCTCAGAAAGAGAGATAGTGAACACTTCTCTGTGAATTGTTCTTTTTGTATCACTCTACCCACCTCCTCTCCCTCGCTGGCCTCTGCGGAGAATCCAGGCCCTACAGAGACCCAGACGTCCCTCCGCGCCACCGCCCTCGTGCCAATGCTGCCTGGAAATCGCCCATACCCACACTGGGCAAGAAAACGCGCGGGGGCAATTGGGGGAGGCCAGGGAGGGATGGAGGAAGCTGAGCACAGACCTACCGGCGGCTGCAGCCCAGACACCCCCACCCTCTTTTTTGTAGCCCTCTTGCTTGAGCTCTCCTCCCAGCTAAAAAGGGTAAGACTTAGAGCTGGCCTCCGTGGCCCCTTTCCGTTCCTCCTCCCATCTTCCCTGCCGCGGCTCCCCCTCCAGGAAGCAGCCACCCCTCTCTCCACCACAGAATTTCCTGGGAAGCCTCTGCCAGCAGCGCCCAGAGGTGGGGTTCAACCCGGTCTTGGAGTGAAAGGGGGGGTGTGTAGAAAAACCTAAGCCCCACCCCCAACAAAAACGATGCAAAAAAAAAAAAATTGAAGAATCTCTCTTACCTTTGCAGAACTTGGTTTATTTTTCTCCTCCGGATTCAAAAGGGTGGGGAGGGAGGGGGGAAAAAAGGAGCGTTCGGTTTCTTCTTCAGCTTCCAGATAATATTGTCCCAACCTGAGAGCCGTCGTTTCCCTTTCTCAGACTTGGGAGAGAGATTGTTTCCCTTTTCTGACATTTGCATGGAAAATGGAGTAAGTTCTGGCTTTGAAAAATGGTATTAGCCTGCAGTCCTGGGCAGATTGTCCATTTACCCTTCATGATGACTAAAAATCCCAGATCAGCGAGCAAATTAACTTAGGAAACAAAATTATTTTTGGTTCTCTCTTTTGTGTAATTCCCACCCCTCCTTTCCTCTCTCACTCTCTCTTCTCTCCTCTCTCTCTCTCTCTCTCTCTCTCTCTCTCTCTCTTGCTCTATCGAGCTGATATTGAAGTATAAAAATATCAAGAGGCTGGAGCCCTGAAGGAGGACAGTGCTCCGACCTAGGTGTGGTGTCCAAAAGAATGCTGCATTATAACCACCAGGGAAATGATAAAAAGTTCATGTTCACGATCGCCCAGCCACATGACCGGCGCCGGCCAATCGCTGGATTCAACCACTCATAAACTTCTATCACAAAGTTGTAAATTTTCATAAAACAACAAGGAATTTATTGCATTTCTTCATGGCTGCTCCACCAGCAACCCTTTTTCTCAGTCGCCATCTTCTTTTCTTCTCCTTCTCTTTTTGGGGAAACCCCAATCTGAGACGGGGTGAGATTTGGGGTGCAAGACTGCAGTATGGAGAATCCATAAAGGCTCAGCTACAAAGGGGGTTCTCTCTGGAACCTCCACATTTTCCTCAGGAGTTCTGCCTGTCTTCTCTAGTAAAAATTCACCCCAAATATTTCACTTGGGACTGTTCTAAGAAATTTGAAGGTGAGGCAGCCAGTGAGAGCAGCATCGGGGTGTTGGGAGCTGCCACCTGCCTCTTGGCAAAATGAAAGCATTGCCCCCTCTCCTCCTCTGAACACCCCCCCCTCATTCTTAACCTAGAGACTGTGGGATTCCCCCAACAGTGAGGTTTGCAGCACCGCAGGTGTGGGAGCCCTGGATCCTTGGGGCCTAGTTTCGGCCCCAGGAGGGAAGGTGTCCTGGATGTGGGCCAAGGCGGAGAGTTTAACAGAGCTCCCACCCAAACACCCCAGAAATTGGAGGAGGGCAAAGCCAAATCACAGGCTCTCCCGCCCAAACACCAGCGGCTCCTTCAGGTTCCCCAGCCAAGATCGCGGGACTCCGCCCGCCAGGGTTTTTGAGGTCTTTAGCAGAAGCCTCAGGTTTAGGGCCTTTTCTTACAAATTCAAATGAAGTAGGTTGTCCTAAAACCAACTACCTTCTTCCTTTTTGTTTCAGGTGTCTGATCTTTAAACAATTAGGGATTTGTAAACGAATAAATATTAAAAACCAGCCCGCAGGTCGAGCTATGTAGCCACTGTCGTGCAGGTTTTTGTTCAGAAAAAAAAAAAAAGTAATAATTCATCCTGTGTTTCCAGGCTCCCTAAAATACCTCTGTATTTTGAGTTGAGCTACAAATGTGGTAAACGAAAAAAATCTCCCTCAAAATGTGTTTTTTCTCCGCCCCCCCTCCCGTGCCTGCTCCAGAGAAGGTTCCAGATTGTCGGCGGCACGCAGAGCAGGCAGAACCGCTCAGAGGAAGCCCCGGCGGCCAGCACAGCCAGGCTCACGGCGGCCACAGAAGCCCGGTAAACCCGCCGGGCTCTCGCTCGCGGGATTAATTCTTTCCCCCCTTTTAAAGCTGTGTATGAATCTCCTGTGTCAATTTAGAATGAAATAAATTTTAACAAATAAAATAAAATAAATTGAGATAAATCAAAGAATCACTCTGGTTGAAATGTCCACCAAATGAACTAACGCAGTTGCACTGGGCGAGCCAGAAGGCCTCCATTATGGTCCTGGCCTCTGCCCAATGCCGTCCCTGAGGTGAGAGTGGATTTGGGTATTCACCCTCTCTTCCCTCCACTCGTTTTGTTTTGTTTTGTTTTGTTTTGTTTTTTGTTTTCGAGGCCTACCATTTTTGGATTTCATCTCCGTATTTGTGGCTGGACAGCCGACATATTCGGTAGTCTAGTTTAAAGGCCCGAAATAAAGAACGTTTGTGGAACTGGGAGCTTTTAAAATTTTTTGTTTTCTTATATTTTGGGAGTGTGTGACAGAGCATATGGTCTCCTGGATGTATCTAGTTGGGGGCAAATGTGAATCTCTGTTTATAAGCCAATGTGTAAATGTACATTGATATTTATCAATGTGTCTGTGAGTGACTGTGAATGTGTGTTTACTTGTGAGTGTGTGTGACTGTAAATGCATGTGTTCTGGGCACAGAGCCGGGATTGTGTGAATGTCTGTATGTGTATTTGTGAACATATTATCTATGTTTATTTGTGACTGTGATGGTGCATACTTCTTTGTACTCTTAATTTTTTGTGGTTGTGTGTTGTATGTAGGAGTATGAAGGGGACATGGGTATGTAATATTGGGGTTCACTAGTTGGCAGTCTCTAGAGAGTGGCATCTGGAAAAAAGAACAAACCAGTGCAAAAACAAAAAGACAGGCAGAGGGGCCCTGGGATATTCACCCTTCACCAACCCTGACCCCCCTCCCAGTCTTATAGAGACACAGAAAATAGAGCATCTGTTTATTTTTAATCCTGTTTTATTTTCCATCCTTCAGATACACATAAAGAAGAGCATGGGGGCTGGTAGGAGCAAGGAGCAGCAAGGTGCACCAGACACAAGTCAGTTGGTGGGTCCTCGGGGCTCCGTAAGACCCTTTCAGTGCCACTACTGGAAAGTACAGGGTAGGCAAGGAACCACAGGCTAGTCCAGATCGACAGTCCACGAAGATAGCATCAAAGAGGGCTTACAAAACAGCAAGATTTTACAAAGACCTTACTAGCAACATAGAAAAGGGGAGGCACATTCCAGAAAGCTAAAGAGCAGGTAGATGATGTCCTTCCCACATTGTACAAAAACAGACAACAGACTATAGGTAGTATTTTTTTACAGTGTTGAGAAACCAAAATTTCACCCTTCTCTCTCCTTAATTTTTCAAACTGCTTTATTTAAATAGAGTTTTTCCCCCTTATTTGAGTTCCCAGGTTCAGTTCCCAGAACTGGGTTTCTCCCTCTCTCTTCTCTGCCCCTCACTCTTCCTCCTCCTCCTCTGCCTCTGTCTTGTCCTGGACGCTGACCCCCGGGCTTGAGGCCTTGTTTTCCTTTTTCCACTTCATGCGACGGTTCTGGAACCAAATCTTGATCTGTCTTTCGGTGAGGCAGAGCGCGTGCGCGATCTCGATGCGCCGCCGCCGAGTCAGGTAGCGGTTATAGTGAAATTCCTTCTCCAGCTCCAGGGTCTGGTAGCGAGTGTACGTCTGACGGCCTCGCTTTCGGTCAGTCCCTGTGCACAGTATTTAGAGGGAGTTTAAAAAAAAAGTGTGAAAAACACCAAGAGTTGACTCACCTCCTTCATAGTGAATCTGTAAGTAATTTGGGGGGGGGGAGTTCCTCCATCTTCTGGGAACCAAATTAATGCTTTTTACACCCATGCCATGCTTGATGGTTCCCTTTTCCTTGCTATCTGCAGAAATGTCTACAGGTTTCTTAAGGCAAGCATTTCTCTTTTTTTCCCTCTCTTTCACAAACACATATGAAAAACTTTATATATAAAAGCAGTACACACACATATATATATTATACATAAATACACACACATATATAGTTAGTTCTGTTTTGTTTTCCAGACATGATCTTGCTATCTAGCCCCTGGCTAGCTTCAAATTGGTGGCAATCCTCCTGCTTCAGCATTCCAAGTGCCAAGTGCTGGGTTTACAGGCCAACTCCATCACGCCAAGTCCTATTTTCCATGCAAGTTTTTCTCAGCCTGAAGCTTCTGAAGCCAGGTAAATTTAAGTTTCTGGAAGGCTCTCCTAAGGCATGAGCATGGGATAAGGGGGAGCTTAACCCCCAGTCACTCTATGGACTAGGAGCTCCAAGTCTACCTTTCTGATGGCCTTTGAGGTAGGGAGCCCTTGCTAGTGACCCTAGAGTGAGACTCCAAGACTGACCTGAATACTTTCAAAGGAAAAAGAAAAGAAACAAAAGGACCTCCTAGGCTGGATCCTAACTCATGGCTGTTGTAGAATGAGGAAGAGGTGAAAATTTGGAGATTTCCCTGAAGCCTGGAACTATTGATCTGACAGCACTTTTCTTCCGATGACTTTCCCAGAGAGTGTCAACCAAGGCCAGGCTACCTTCCCGCCTTCCTGCCCAGACAACCCCATTGTCTGAAGGAATCTTTGGATCTCCAGGACTTGGAAGAGGAAAGGAAAGCCCATGGCCTGGGTTCCAGAGGAAGATGAAGATCTGTGTGGTGGGGACTGAAGGGTATGTGAGAACTTCTCAGTTTAGGCCCAGAAACCCTGAAGAGACTTGGGGAGGCACTGGTGCAGGCCTCCTAGGAAGGAGAAAGGAGGGCTTATCCTGGGCCTTAATTTCAAGTCAGATAAAAACCAAGCTGAAATGATTAGGAGCAGAAAAATTTGGGCTTTGATAAATCAACAGGAAAGGCAGTTGGATTATAAGGCAGGTAATGGAGACTGTGACCACCAACATGGGTGATGTGAGAACCTGGTTCCTCATGGCTCCTGACTCTGATGAGGCTGGGAGCCTCTGGCCATAGTCTTGGGTCTTCTGAGCCTTGGAGTTGGCTCCTACATCCATCTGCTTTGGGTCAGTGTATAAAAGGGTGTGTGAGTTGGCATTGGCAACAGACCCTATGGAAATTTTGGTGTTTTGGGGTTCAGTTAGCAGCTTCTGTGTTGCTTGCATTGTCTTGATTTGGTTCCATGGAGTCCTAGTCCTGCCCCCGCAAAGGGAGATTCACATTTCTGGAATGCTACCTCCAAACTTGCCCTGTTCTGTGTGTGTGGGGGGGGGTCCTAGGAGCCCTAGGAAGGGTACCTGAAAAAGCTATACTCCCATGAGGCTTCTGCCCATTTCCTAACGCCCCTCACCAAGATCACTGGGGGTGGGGTCATCAGACTCTCCCCCCCATCTTCTTCTGGCTCTATGTTCCTGTCTGGGTCTTCATCTCTTCTGTACCCCCTCCTCCCTCTGGGCCTCTAGAGTCCACCTCTAATTGTCCTGATGGGGATAATGGGGGAGCAGGGTTGGCTGGGAAGGAAGGGGGAGGGGAGAACTGCTTAGCGCCCTAGCCCCCTCTTCCATGTCTTATCCAAGTTGGGGCTGGGGGTTCACACCCAGAGCTGAGATCTCAGGCAGGGAAGGGGCAGAGAGAGAGAGAGAGAGAGAGAGAGAGAGAGAGAGAGAGAGAGCCTAATGGCTATTCTCTACAAACCCCAGCCTTCCTAGGCAAGACAAACGGCTTCATCTCCAGCCCGTGCCAGAGCTGCTGATAAATATTTAAAGCTAAAAGGCCGGGAGGAAGGGTGGGGGGAGGACTGGAGAATTTGAGCGCAGCGGCGTCGGCGAAGAGTGATCGGCCAGGGAAGAGGGCGAGAGCCTGGGAGCACTGAGCAAAAATGGGGGTAGGAGTGGCGCACCGGGTCGCAACCGGTGTTGTCAGGTTGGACCTGCGGCCGGGAGCACCCAGGACACAAGGGGATTCCCTCACGGGAAGGGGGCACCTTCCGGGGACTGCGCCTGGGACGCTGCGGCTCGGGACGGCTCGGAGCGCTGCGTTACCTGAGCTTCGCATCCAGGGGTAGATCCGGAAGTTACTCTCGGCCGCCAAGTCCGAGTCCCTCTGCTCCTTGGCGCCTGCCGCCTTGGCGGAATCGCCCGGACACACCCCGGAGAGGTTCTGCTCAAAGGGCGCGCAGTGCATGTTGAAGGAACTCGGTTCGAGCCCGTAGCCGGCCGCGTAGACGCCGGCCGCGCTCTGGGCCGCCATGCCCCCCCCGCCGGGGTACAAGCCCTGCATCGAGGCGGCGAACGGGGCGCCCGAACCTGCTCCATAGCCCGGGCGCTGGGGGTTGGAAGCAAACGCACAAGAAGTTTGTTCGGGGAAGGCTCCAGTAGCGAAAACCGAACTTGCGGCTGGATATTTAGAAAATAAAGCATTCGCATAATACAATGAACTCATAATTTGGCCGGATGATTTGTAGGCAGGGACGTTTTAGTGTCGGTTTTACGAGATTCCTTGATATATTACAGAATTAGAGTCCAGATTTACACCAAAAAGGACCCCCTTTTTCCTCTCCGGACCACGTGACCCCGACCCACGTGATATCCCCTCCACCAATGATTGACCGGCCTCCCCACCGCCCGCAGTAATGTGGAAAAAATTGTGTGGCGTTGGATTTATAAAATATGATCAATAATGAATGGGAAAGCTGAGCTCTGTGGATTGGGGCTGGGGGCTCAAGAGCCGCTGTCGACCCCCGCGGGCTGGAGGCAGCTTGCAAGCGAGGTTTGGGGAGGAAGGAATTGAGTGGAAGGGAAAATAAATAACCTCTGAGCGATCCGTGTTGTCACCCCCCACGCATTTCCCCCAGCCCGTTACTGAGGCGAAAGGCAGATGCAGGGATTGAAAGCGTATAACTTGGTGGGTGGGTGGGGGCAGGCCCGGTATTTATTAATCCGGGATAATTCATCCGGACTGGGCCTTTAGAGGAAGTTGGTGCAAGGTGAGGGATGAGGTGAGCCTGTCCTCCAGGCTCTCTATCCCAGTTATGGTGGCAGATATGGGAGAGAGGGGGCAGGCTTCCTAGCTGCTCCTAAGTAAGGTAGAAATCTAACCCACCGAGCATTGGACGTTAAGGTTACCGGTGGCTGAAGAAGCAGGGTTTGCAAGTAAAAAACAAAACAAAACGAAACACCCCCCCCTCCAAAAAAGGAACAGGGTGGGTGTAGGAAGAGAAAGGAAGGGAGTAGGGCGGCCTGGGTCCGGCTCGCTACTTTCCGGGTTCCGGAAGGCGGATGCCTCACTCAGCTGAGCGTGGCTGCCAGAGAAGCAGAGGCAGAGAATGCAGGAAGGCGGCAAGCCACGGCCTAGAAACTGGGCAAAAGTGGCGACGTCCCAGAGAGAGAGAGGGCATCTTCCCTCTGCTCCTGCTTCTCCCACCTGAGTCCGAGAAAAATAAAAATATAAGCTCAGCAGCCCTGCACTCGATCTTCAACGTCGCCAACACCCCCCCCCACCCCCAGGACACAAGCGGAAACAAAGGGAGAAGGGGCAGGGGACGCAGCCACCAGCCAAGGCACATCCAGCGCGGCCTGGGCGCTCCAGTCTCGCGGGCACAGCAGCCTCGGAACGCTAGGGGAGGGGGTTTCTCTTGACTCCCCTCCCTCGATCCTCTCTCCTCCAATCACGTGCAGCCGCCTCCCTCACCCCCTGCGCCCCTGGGCCCGGGGACTCGCACCACCTGCTTCCAGCCCCCGCCCCCTCCTCTCTACAACCTAGCCTCCGCCAGCCCAGGAGCCCGCTGACCAGCTCCCCCCAGCCCTGCAAGGCGCATGGGAGCCAAAGAACAGCGCGGGGGCCCCGGGCCGGTCTCGGGTTCTCGCTTGTAAACTTTATTGTAACTCTTCCGCCCTTTTCAGGCTCAGACAACAGAACAAAGTATAGGGGAGCAACAAAATATATAATTAGCCCTCCCTCCCCCCCATAAAGCAATTCACGGATACAGGATACATTCTTTTCACAGTAAACCTAAGAACACTTTTAACAATTGCCCACAGCGCGCATGCTAACTAAAGTAATCTCTTTTAAGAAACACTTAAGACGAAATTGTCAAACCAAAGGAGGTGGGGAGGAGGAAAAGAGTGAAGCAAGAAAGCCAGCGAGCTAGGGAGGGCAGCAGGGAGGGGGAGTTGAGAGGGAAAATGAGGACGCGGTGAGAGAGAGAGGAGGGAGGAGAGAGAGAGAGAGAGAGAGAGAGAGAGAGAGAGAGAGAGAGAAAATCATCTAAAAGAAAGGAAAATGACTATGGTTGCCTTC